CTCTCTCTTTTTAGAATAAACAAATGAACCTTTGATGTATTCTTCTTAACCCATGAGTTGAATACTCAATTAAACATGAAAGAAAACTAGCAAAATATCCCCAGATATAAACCTTAATATCCAAAAAGAAGATCTGGAACAGTAATCCTAAAATCTGACAGAAACACATACTTATAGAAATCTGGGACTATGAAGCTCGCTCGAGCGAAGACTCTCTCGCTTGAGCGAGGAACCAAAAATGTATGTTTTCTATAAGTGGCTTCGCTCGAGCCACGCAACCTACGCTCGAGCACACATTCACCTCTCTCAGGTTTTTGCCAGACGCAGTCTTCGCTCGAGCGAGAACTCCTTCGCTCGAGCAAGCAAGGGCAGACAGGCAACTTTGAAAGCAATTTTGTAGTTTGCTTTGGGGGCGCTGCCCCTCAACCCCGCCTGGGCGCTGCCACAGACCCGCCAAGGGGCGCTGCTCCCTCGACGCCCGCGAGCTGACCAGGTAGCTCAATCTCGTCACAGTCAGCGAAGTGGCAATCTTGAAAGAATTAACATCACAAACTTCTCTGCATGGCACAATTCAGGTTGGATTCGCATCTAACAAACTCATAGCCTCACTGAAATAAAAGTGCGAAAACAAGTACAATTGAAAGGAGTTTTGTCAAACGGGATTGCCAAGAATAAAAACCTAACAATATAGATAAGCCAAGTTTCTCAAGTTTCCTAAAGAAGTAGGAATGGGTCCAGAAAGACTGTTGGTGTACAAAGCAAGCTCAATAAGAGACTTTAACTAGCATATCTCTTGAGGAATTGGGCCATTCAATTGATTTTCAACCATGTGGAGAGTGTCAAGATTTGTTAACAGGCCGATCTGTGGTGGGATGTTTCCCGAGAACTGGTTGATGGACAAATCAAGATAGATGAGTTTGGAGAGGGAGCCAATTAGAGATGGGATGACACCAAAGAGGTTATTCATGCTAAGATCGATATATGCAAGATTGGGAAACGATGAAAATGTAAAGTTGTCAAGCATACCATTTAGACTTGAATTTGTGAGGTTCAACCTATTGACGCTTCCATCAAAGTTGCAAGTAACTCCAAACCAGCTGCATGGGCTGGCACTTGTTGAGATGTTATCATGAGGTGGAAGTATCCATGAAGTTAGCAGGGAATGGTTTGTGCTTTGTAGGGTGGCTTTCCATGTGATGAGAGCATTAGCTTCTTTAACAGAAGCAGAAGTAACATTAATGGTTGCAGAAAAGAGTGTCACAAACAGGACTAAGGAAACAAGGCAGAGTTGTTTCTCTAACAGTCCCATTGTTTTTCCCTTTGATGAACTAATGGGTAGTTCAAGGCTCTAATTTATATACACATTTTTCCACTGGTCTATTGTTGTAGTAGACTTTGAAAATGGAAGTCTTTTTGTTCAGATGTAAAATAGAATAAGTGAAAAAAAGAGCATATGTAATAATAAGAGGTGTTTCGACATTGTGGTTTCAGTACATGCATAGTTTACACATGGGTCCTAGTTCAATTCTTCTCAATAATGGTTCAATTCTTCTCAATAGCAATTCGAATTTTTTTTAAAGCAGTTTTGTGTAGAATGTTAAGAGTTTCCATTTGTATCAGTCATAAAATTAAAAGCAAAAAAATCAAATAATAACAGTTTGATTCTCTAAACTAGCAAGTTTTGGGTTAATTTTTAGAGCAAGAGCCTGTTCTAGAGTTAGGAGAGCGATCCTTTGTTATATGTTTCTTTTTTCTGATTTGTCTTCTTGTTCTTTTTCTTTTTCATTAAGTGGTTTTCGCAAGTCTATTGCTCCTATTTACTGAAGACATAGTGCTGCTTTAACCATTAGCATTTATTCCCAAAAAGCATCAAAATCGAGTGGAGTTAAGTCCCGTCGAGTAGAATATTGGTTAACTCTAGTCAATTTTGATGCTTTCTGGGAATAAATGCTAATGGTTAAAGCAGCTAGTACAAGACATGAATGTTCTATTGCAGATAGGGCATTTTATATTTTGTTATATGTGAACTTTGGTTAAAGTGATTTTCTTTATTGTGCTACGGATATTTGTCAAATTAAAGGTTTGTACAAGCCTGGTCCAAAGTGTAGACAGATTTGCTCTAGCCTGGCTCGAGTCTGACCTTTATAAATTCCCTTATCCAAGCTTGAACACTGAGTTTATTTCAAAATTTTAACTCTAGCTCAGGTTGCTCGAATTTAACACAAAAAATTATTTATTGTGTTGTGCATTGAATTGTCTTTAACCAATTCATTGCACTTTTTAAATATAAAAAGGGTGAAAAAAATTTCTCAAAAACTACAAACATGGAACATATAAAAAAAATTTGTTTGAGTTGTGCATGAGTAAACTTGAACAACTCTCAACATAACTCAAGTTAAGTTAAACAATCTTTGAATTTGATTGAACCTGCCCAAATTGCACACTAACTCCAGTGTATAAACTTGGGCAATGGTCTTTGTTTATCTTGTAGCTACTAACTCTAGCGTATAAACTTGGGTAATGGTCTTTGTTTATGGCGTATAGACTTGGGCAATGGTCTTTGTTTATCTTGTAGCTACATAGTGCCTGTTTGGTGAAACTTAATTTTAGCTTATTTCAACTTATGACTTAATTTAAGTCATTCTGATCTGTTTGGCACAGCTTAAAGCACCAAATTATAACTTAAAAAAAAGTCATTTTCAGGCAATTTGGAGAAGTTGCTCCGGAGGTGATTCAGATTTTCGCTTAAGCGCACAGCTGTTTGGAGGGGCATGAAATGACTTAAATGCCCCTCCAAAACTTCAACAATTACGGTTATGCCACTATATAAGCCCTCTTTCGTCGTGCCCTAGCCCACTCCTCTCCTCACACTCGTCTTCTCATTTCCTTGGTGACGAAAGACGATCCTCCACATCTCTCCAAGATCAGCTGATCGAAGTCGAAGATTTCTCCAAGATCTACACTACAAAAGGTAAGAGTTCATGCCTTTTGTTTGTGATATATATATATATGCACAAACACACACATTTGAGCTAGGGTTTACAGACAGATCACACTCTCCCTTCTTCCTTCGATTCACCCTTTGGTTTCGAGTTGAAGGCGGCCTCTCTATTTGAATTTTCCTCTTTCATCTTGCCCTTGGCTTTGCCTTCTCCCTTATCTGTCATCTCTCTCTCTCTCAGAAATGTATGCTCTGTTTACTTTATCTGAAGATATATGACTGAATATATAGATGTGGAACTTCTTCTTATTTCCCCCCCTTCTTTTCTCTGAAGATTGTGTGTCTGTATGTGAAGTGTGAACTGAAGTTCAAGAATGTTATTTATATATTGATTTTATTTTTTTGTCATTCTGTTTATTTTCGTAAATAGCATCTTAACGTGAATTGAACTTTTGTTTACTCTGAAATTAATGTTAATTTTCGTAAATTAATGTTATTTTTCTTTGAAATTATTCTCTGTTGTTCCAATTTAAATAACAAATTTGTATTATCTTCTTTTGATACAGTGTTTGGCTTTTGATACAATTTTTTTCTATCATTGATTGGTTGTTGATAAATTAGTGTTTGATGAAGATAACTGATAATTTTTATGTTCATCAGTTAAATTAGTTTGTGAAGTTTTAGAAAATGCCCAGACATGGAATAGAATATCAAGAGCTCTTTGGTTTATTTTGGTCATGTAATTCAATTTGGAACATTTTGTGTCTTTTGGATCTGCGTTTGATAAATTATGAATTTAAAGTCAACTTGAAACAAATCAAAATAGCAACAACTCATATTACAATAAAAAGCAACAGAAAAATCCCCTCTTTTCCTCTGCTTTTCAACTTGATAGATAGACTAATTAAATTTAAAACCTGAAGCAAGTTCAGAAGGGGTTAGATAAAAGTTCAGAAGGGATGAAGGCAGAAGAAGAGAAAAGATATTAGGTGGTGTATACCACTGTTTGGTTTTTAACATTATGCCTATGTATCTATTTGAATTTTTCATAGTTGCTTATTTTTCCCTTAACCATAGACCTCCTTATGCTTTAGGAATGAATATTATAATTTCCCTAATGTAGAAAGAGGAATGAATTTTCTATTCAATGGGGACCATGTGCTAAATTCCATTGCATAAGAGAATGAGGGAGGAAAGGAAAATGTTTTATTTTAATGTGTTTGCTGAACCATTAACAGTTTCAAATTGTGCTGAATCGAAAGTGTCCGAAGTGTAGCTGAACCAAAAACAGTTTCAAATTGTTTTTTTTTTTTTTCTCTTTGCAAGGCCAAAGTGTGCAAATATTTTCATTGTATCAATAATGGTTCCTCAATCCAATGCATGAAAACTCTTTCTGTGTACATAGTTGGTCATGGACAATAGTGTTAGTCATGTATAATATCTTTAAGTTCCCAATCAATTTTAGACGATGTGGATTCAATTCTTCGTAATTACTGCAGAGGCATGTCATCCTCTAGTAACTATGCTCCCAGTGCTGAGACCTTGGATTTGAGGTACGAGGCTTTGAAATGTGAGTGAGGTGTAAGAGCTGCCATAAGGGTAACCGAATCTGAGAAGCCATCAAAAGGAAGACTATATGTAATTTGTGAGAAGAGAAATTGTCAATTTTGGAGGTGGTGTACCCCAAAATCTATGACGATGGTAGAGAGGCAGAGGAACAAGACAAATCTTTATCAAAATCAAAACATCAAGACTGTAGGACTAAAAGTGAAGAACCAAATGCTTAAGCAATCCGTAACATTTATGAAGCAGCTTGTTATGGGTTTGCTCACAATTTGTATTGTTCTATCAGTTGCATTACTCTTCAAATGATTGTAGGTGGCTTTTAGATCATGTGTTTTTTTGCTAAGTTGTGTACCCAATGATGAGACGTCTATTGTAGTAATCTTATGTTTTATACTAATCATGCCATGTATGGTTATTTTGTACTAATCTTATGTTTTAATGCAACCAATGATTAATGAGTATGTGTTAAACAATTTTTTTTTTCTTTCATAGAATGAGTACCCAAGAGGAAACACAATCTGAAAATAGGAAGAATAAGGGAAAATCCTCTCAAGTACCATCTGTTAAGGCTCATTGGGATGCAAAATCAAATGAAATCTTTATTAAGCTTTGTGTTGAGCAAGTGAAGGTCGGACACAGACCTGGTACACACTTAGATAGGGTCAGGTGGGAAAATGTCAGAACTACGTTTAAAACTATGACTGGAAAAGCATACCAACGAATACAAATGAAAAACCATTGAGATGTGTTGAAAAAAGATTGGCTTTTGTGGACCAATCTATTAAGGGGTGAGACAGGCTTAGGCCATGATACATTGACTGGAGCTATATCTGCATCTGATGAGTGGTGGACCAAGAAATTGGAGGTATTTAAATTGCTTAATGCACATATTTTGTTTGTTTTTGTTGTTTAAACACACCAAATTTTGATACTTGTAAATGTTAAATTTTTTCTTTGTAATTGTTGCAGAGGTATCCTGATGCTGCTAAATTCCGGCGTATGCCGTTGCAATTTAGTGAAGACTTAGACATACTATTCTCAGATGCAGTTGCTACAGGAGAATGGGCATACACTCCTAGTTCAGGGGTTATGCCTGACACTAATGACAATGTGGAGGAATTTTATACCCCACATGATGCTGAATATGATGATGATGATTTGGAGGTGGTTCATCCCTTTGAGTTAAACAAAAAGCGTTCATTAAACACTGGTGGTTCATCAACCAAGAGCAAGACAAAGAAGAAATTTACTGGTGCAACTCTAATTAACAAGACACTTGATCGTACAGTCAATGTGGTTGAGTCATCTTCAGCAACTTCAACACAGACCTCATCAAGATATCCTTCAATTGCATAATGTTTGGCGAAGTTGGAAAACATCCCTGGTGTGTCCCTGAATGATGAGTTGTATATATGGGCCGCCCGATTGTTCTTACGAGACAAGCATCATGAGTGCTTCATGACTCTTCCTACGGATGAAGTTCGGCTTAGGTTTATAAAGTTGGAGATTGAGATGGAGAAGACCACCACAAGTTATCGCGGCTAATTGTGGACTGCCCGGTTGTTCTTAAGACTTTTATTATTAATTGTGGACTGTTCTGTTGGACTTTTATTTTAGTAATTGTGGACTGTTGCAATATTTTCCTAATTTTTCCTTTTATTAATATTGACTATATGTTGGACTTTTAATTGTGGACTCATTATTTCGAATTTTATTAATATTATGTTGGACTTTAGTTAAATGGTTGAATGGTTTGTGGGTAGGTGACATTTTTTCAGTTGAATGGTAGGTGAATGGTTGACTTGTTGAATGTTAATTGAATATGAATGGTAGGTGAATATGAATGGTAGGTGAATGGTGAAGATTATATATATGTATATGTAGGTGAATGGTTTACTCAGTTCATTTTTGTGCTTTACATTTTTTTCCTTTACATTTGAATCTCTCCAGGTATAACTTTGTTGAAGTTTAAGGTATAATTTTCTTGCTTTACATTTTAATCTTTCACCTATTTCATTTTTTTATTTACATATTTCTTTATATGAATGATGGTTTTCTTTAATTGGGATAAATGGATGACATGTTGCCTTATATTTCAGTAGATAGGAACACATCTTCAATACTTCATTTGTGAGCTAGAATTGGATATGTATATAACAGTGTTGCGTGCTTGAATTGCATTTGTGTTATGCTTGAATTTCATGAATTGAAACAGTTAGACTGACAGTTACGAATTGAAACAGTTAAATAAGGTCTGAAACTGCTCCAAATAGTTACACCACTGTGGCATACTGGTATGTTTTCTTACTAATTACATCTCCATGTTGAAATGGCTGGTGCATATGACCCACCCAACTCATGAGAGAGAATAGATATTGAATATGTTTGCCATGCTCAAGGATTGCAAATGGCTGGTGCATATGACCCACCGAATTCATGAGTGAAACAAAGAGCTGCTCAATGAAATTTGGATTTTTTTAGAAAATATATATTCATTTTCCTAACCTACTGGATAGTTTACAATCTGGACCTTTAGTGTTTAAAATAGTTTACAATCTGGATAGTTTAAAATAGAAACAAGGTTGTTCTTAATAGAAACACTATCAAATAACTTTACTTTTATCCCTTAGTAACTTTTATTTGTTCACATTGTTTTGAATCTTGTTGTGAATATAGTGGGTTTGATTTAATATTTTAAATTGCCAATTCTGAATTTATATTAACTCTTTATGTCACCCCTTTTTTTTTTTTAATTGAATGGTAACTGAACCTTTCAAATGAGTAGGTATTTTAAAGATGAGTAACAGTGATGAAGACCAATGGAATGATGACCATGATGATGAAGATACTGACGATGAAGGCAGCACATCGCAAACCCAACAAAATAATAATATGCTCTTAGCTACGGCGGCTACAATTGCAGCGACATATGCAACAAATTATTTGATAAAAAAACCATGTAGGACATCTTGTTTAACAGGAGGGATGTGGATGGTAGAATTACAAGAAGGGAATCAGACAAGAATATTTGAAAATTTTCGAATGGAAAGAGAGGTATTTTATCAATTGTGTAATTTGTTACAGACAAATTATGGCCTTCAAACTGGACGACAAGTCTTGGTTCAAGAGCAAGTTGCAATATTTTTGTTTATTGTTGGCGGTGACATTCGAAACAGAAATGTCCAAGAAAGATTTCAACATTCCGGCGAGACTATTTCAAAATATTTCAAGAAGGTGTTAAAGGCTGTTACAATGATGTCCATTGATTGGGTAAGGCCTCAACCGACTAATGGTGTGCATCCATACATCCGACACAACTGCAAATATTATCCTCATTTCAAGGTAAATAATTAACTACAAGCACAACTTGGGTGTTACATATAATTAATGTTGGTAGGATATTTCTACTAATCTGTGGCTAAATTATTATTTTTTTCATTATTATGTAATAGGATTGTATTGGAGCAATTGACGGAACACACATCAAAGCATATATATCTCCAGATAAGCAAGCTCGTCTAATAGGTAGAAAGGGATATGCGACTCAAAACATAATGGTCGCATGTGACTTTGATATGTGTTTCACATTTTGCTTACCAGGATGGGAAGGAAGTGCACACGATACTCAGATCTTCTTAGATGCAATTAGGAATCCTAGTTTTAATTTTCCAAAACCACAAGGAGGTAACTGTTTTATATTTGATTGCTACAATAGATGCACCACACTCACATCTTCATATTTATTTTTACATTTATAATTGCTTACTTAAATTTCATTTTGGAATTTTAAAATACATGAGTTTTACTTGGTGGATGCTGGTTATCCAAACATGAAAGGATATCTTGCACCTTACAAAGGAGAGAGATACCATCTAGCTCAATTTGAACATGGTCAACCCCCCCCCCCAAAAAAAAATGCACAAGAAAAATTCAACCAAGCACATTCATCACTTAGAAGTGTAATAGAAAGAACGTTCGGGGTTTGGAAAGCAAGATGGCCGATGATAAAGGATATCCCACCAAACTACAAGTGGCCGACCCAAGTCAAACTTGTTTGTGCAACAATGGCAACTCATAATTTCATCCGACGAAGTATGCTCCGCGATATTGCATTTGACTCTTATGATAGATTCACGGATTATGTGCCTAATGAAGAGGAAGGATCTTCGTCTCAACAAGCACGCCATGGAAATGATGTTGCATGAGATGACAACGAGATGGAAGTGAGGAGACATAATATTTGTATATCAATTTGCAGACGAAATTAGGAGCTCTATAAAGATCAATGAAGTTTTATTTTTCTTGCCTTAATAGTAATTTATTGTATTTTTATTGCAATGACTTTTTTTGTTTTCTTGTCAACTCAATATTATTACAAAAAAATTGAATAAAAAAATAAATAAATATTTGAGGAAATGAAATGTACCAAATTAGGTACTAATTAATCAACTTCCATTAATGAAATAACTTTTTCAAAATTTAAAGAGAAGAAAATGACAAAAATTACAAATCTCCTGTTCAAAAGGGCAAAAATGACAATTACACAGCAAAAAGCTATTTTACAGCTTATTTACCAAACACTACTCTGTTGCTTAAATCTATAATCCCACAGCTACACCAAGCAGGTTAGCAGCTTATACTCACAGCTATAAGCTATAATCTATAATCACTTTCCCACAGCTCTACCAAACAGGGCCATAGTGGAGTCTCCAGTCAAGTCAATGACTTTTAATCATATAAAACTACTAGGAAAAAGTGCTATCTGAGACTGGAAATTTTGGATTGACCAACTCAACACATTATTTTCTGCAAAAGAATTGTAACAACCCACATTTATGTCTTAGTCATGTTCATGAGAATCTGTATGATTATGACTCGCTAAGCTTGCATTTGTATGTTTGTGACTTGTTTTGCCTAAGTAAGGTCCATGTCTCGTTTTGCGCTTATGTGATTTGCCTAAGTGTTGTGTGCATGTTTTGTTCCTTCCTTGCTGTCTCAAGCCTAGGTCATGTCAAGCCTAGGTCATGCCAAGCCTAAGTCATGTTAAGCCTAGATTATTCCAAGCCGAGGTCATCTTCAGTCTAGAATTATCTTGGAACCCCTTTGTTTGACCTCCACCTTCGCATTGACATATTGGCCGAGATGTCATTATCTACGCCGAGGTGTTCATCACCAAGGCCGAGATGTGTATTATCTAGGCCGAGATGTTACCTTTGCACCCAAGTGATCTTGCCCTGGAGTGGTATGACCTAGACCGAGGTGTGGCACATCTAGGCCAAGGTGTGGCACAGCTTAGTCAAGTGTTGTCCTTCCTAGCCGAGGTCATTGTCACCTTAGTTGCCGAAGCTTTGTCCTAAGCCGATGTCATCATTTGCCGGAGTGCCTTACCGGGTAGCTTGTTAGATACACTTTGTCTTACAAAGACTATGACAAAGTGTATCTAACAAGCTACTGGGTAAGGCACTCCGGCAAGTGATGACATCGGCTAAGGACAAAGCTTCGGCAACTAAGGTGACAATGACCTCGGCTAGGAAGGACAACACTTGACTAAGCTGTGCCACACCTTGGCCTAGATGTGCCACACCTCGGTCTAGGTCATACCACTCCAGGGCAAGATCACTTGGGTGCAAAGGTAACATCTCGGCCTAGATAATACACATCTCGGCCTTGGTGATGAACACCTCGGCGTAGATAATGACATCTCGGCCAATATGTTAGGGCAAAGGTGGAGGTCAAACAAAGTGGTTCCAAGGCATAGCCGA